ACTGCTATAAACATTCCAACCATTTTATTCGGTAGCTCGTCAATCTCTCTAGCTATGGAGATCAGCAACGTCATCAATCAGCTGCCTGATGGTGTCAACTGAAAGCATGCCCTCAATGCGAGTGGCACGTTTGGCCTTGTCTTTACCCATGAACACCATGGTCGGTAACCCACGGATCTGCACAAAGCAGAACGGAGATTTGTGAAAATGGAAATGGGATCGACAGACGAAAGAAGAGACGACCAACGGATGTTGGAGAACGTGACAGGGGTTTGGAGGGTCGGAGATAAGTTGTAGGAGGTCGAAGAAAGGACGACTATACTTCCACGGATGCCGTACCTCCAGCTGATCTGCGAGGTCGTACTCCTGATCCGTGTTCACTTGGACGAACCGCACGCGACCATCGTACTCCTCCGCTAACTGCACACCCGTCGCATCCATCACGATCAAAGGCAGAGCATGGAGCGAAGAAGACACAGGAGAGAAGACGACACAGGTCAGGCTACTTCTGGCATGAGGTATAAAGGAAGAAGAACGCAAGCCTCATGCAGTAAGAACCTGCTACCAAACCCAAGAAAGTGCAATCTTTTAGCAATTACGGAAGCCCGTTCTTGCGAATCCAGAACCAGGCAATCTGGTTTTTATGAAGACTTGCCTCCTCAAGCTGCTCAGACAGAATATCGCACGACCCGCACCAATCGGCGCAAAAGTCGATCACCAGAGGCGTGTCTCGCTCGCCGGTCACGAGGTGATCGAGTTCCTCCGTGTTCACATCGCGCTGGAGAAAACGGGAAAAGGCGAACGGGATGTAGAATTGAGAGGAATGAATACCGAAGGGAAGGCGTATCAAATCGAAGACGCACAGCCTAGCAAAGGGGGATAAGAAATCAAGCACCCGCGAGGAATAAAGGTTTCCTATTAACGAGGTAGATGAATTGCTGGTGTGGACGACCGATCTCTGCAAGCTCTGGACTGCTAGAGTGTCGACATACCACGTGAGTGCATTGAACGCGGGAGGACTGGGAGGCTCCAACGGCTAGTCTGAAGCTGTTTGACGATCGTCGGTTTGTAAGGGGGTGGAAGAGGCCCGAGGCTTTTGTAAGCTGCTGAGAGCAGGCGTGACGCCGTTGGTTGAAGCAAGATGCAGCAGCCATATGAGTGGCCACGCGCAGTGACGATGCCATTTTTTATCAATAAATGTGAACCGTTCCTAATAATGGAGGTCCGCTTGTGACGGCAGGTAACCGCCTGATGGCAACCCAGTGGCCTACGATTTCGAAAGAATCACGCGGACGCGCTGCAATGGTCCCAATGAGCTTAATGGGACAGAGAACAGGCAACGGCTGAAGCTAACAAGCAGGACTAATAGGAAGATGTAACAGGTAGCAGGACTAATAGGTAGCAGGACTAACGTCTAGGGGTCTCAGGGAACTAGTGCAGGTAAAAAAGTAGAGTGATCTCATGCAATTGGGTAGGTACTACTCTCTCATGCATTTGGATGGGTAGGTTGTGTCCCTGCCTGACTGAAGTCGAGTGGCGGGAGGACGTTCCCCCCGTTTGAACCTTGAGAGCTCAAGTTTGTGCCCCCCGAATCTCGTCTTCCACCAATCACAATGCCAATTCAAACGGCTCTGACACGTGGAAGTCGGATACAGCACAGCACAAGGATGCCAGCAATGCGGGGCCAGCCAAGCTGAAAAGCGAGTCATGCGTCCCAATTCCCGGGAGATTTCAGGGCTCACGTGCGGGACAACGGCTCTCGAACACCTTGAAAAGCTGCGTGTTTCAAGTGGGACACCACTGTACTTCGCTGATTTCTATCCATAAAGTTGAACTTACCATTACCTGCATATCCACATCTAAATGCAATACAAACAGAAGAAAAGTAGGAGAGAGATGAAATTAAAACTGGCAGGGCCTCACATACATTTAGGAGGCGTGGCTTATCAGGAAAAGCAGCAATACACCGCCACAGACGGTGTGCAGGTATGTTTTGTCCAGTGCATGTACACTACTAGAAGCAAACACACACCTTGAATGCATGAAGAGCGTGTTCCTACCAGCCTCTTCCCAAGCAACCTCTTCCCAGACTCGCGTGCTACAGTGTCGCAACTTTTTTCGCGAAATGTTTCAGTGCGGTTCCGCGAAGTGCGAAGTGAGATTCGGCTCTTCGGGATTCAGGGGCGTGTTTTAAAACCTCATTTCAGACGAACATATTTTCAGACAAACGCGAATCTGCACAGTAAATCTTCGACGCCAGCTGTTTTTATGTGGTTGAGAGCGTTGGAATGGAACGCAAATATGAAACGGGATTATTCCAAAAGGGGTCCTGGGAACACGCTATCAAGGTCGCGTGTGAGTCTGGGAAGAGGTTGCCTGGGAAGAGGCTTGAAGGAACACGCTCTACGACTCTATTCCTATACACATCACAGCACAGGTGACAGACTACTCAATTTGGGACAAATCAGTGCACTAGCTTTGTTACAGACTACTAGTTGGGGCCACATGAACAGACCTACTACAGTACCAGCTCCTTGCCTACTCTAGTTTCCACAGCTTGTTCTTCTTAAACCGTGCCAGCTTCTTACCCTTTCCCATCAACCAGTTATTATGTACAGTAACCACCCTCACCTTCTCCTCCTCCTCCAACTGCCACCAAGGCTCCTCCCTAGTCCCGGGCGGCATGTTACTATCCCCTCTGAAATACAGCCACCCAGGCGGAAACAGCTTCTGCGGCAGCACTCCCACCAGTGGCGCCGGGCTCATTTTAATCACATCGCTTACAGCCACGCCGAGGTAAAACTGGTCATTTTCATTCCCACGAATCCTGACCGCGCGGGCAATTTTCAGTGACCAGGCGTCGAGGACGAGCCGCCCGCCCGGGGAGCTCCGAAGAAACACAAACCCGCCGCAGACTTTCGCGGTCTGGATATTTGCCGAATCTCGCGCCATGGGGTACGTGCCGGTGGCGTTGAAATCGGCGGAATCCGGCAGCTCTCTGACGCCCACGACGTCGTAGCCTCGCACGGGGAAGGCGTCACCGTCGCTGCGGCTGTCGCGGATGGCTTGCGGTGGGGGGGTGGCGTGGACGAAGGGGAGCGGGTCTTTCATCCAGATGAAGTCCGAGTCGCAGATGAGGACGTTAAAGCCCATGTCGAGGAGCGTGCGGATATAGGCGACCCGGCGGTACATCATGCGTTTAAAGCCAGCGGTGGCATAGGCGAGACTACTGCTTCCGCTGCCACCGCTGCTGCTTCTGGCACTGTTGTCGCTGCCACCGCCACCGCCGCCGCCGCTGCCGCCGCCGCTGCTGCTGCTGCTGCTGCTGCTGCTACTGTTGTCGCTGCTGCCGCTGCTGCCACTGGTACTGCTGCTGCTGTTGTCTTCGCCGCTGCTCACACTGCCGCCACTCCCCCTATCCGACAGCAATCGCCTTCGCCTTGAGCCTCGTTGCACTTGGCCCTCCGCTGTTCCCCCGGCCTTTCGTTCCGCCTCCCCCTGCTTTGCGCCCTCCCCTTCCCCCTCCCCTATCCCCGCGGCTCTCAGTTCCGCCTCCCCCGCCTGCTCGATCTCGGGAACGTGCCAGCGCAACACCTGTCGGGGGAACCTCTCCCTCAGCAGGTCGAAGCTCTCCATGTCCTCAGCGAACACAAGAAAATTACGACCGTACCCCAGCTCGCCCGCATACACCGCCCAGTTGAGCAGAAAATCCGCGTAGCCGATGTTTGTAACGAGTACAACGACCGTCCCGTTAACAGCCACGTCGCTCGCCAGTGCTTGTAACGATTCACGGGAAACGTAACCCTCGTCGTCCCACTCAATCTCCTGCTTGGCCTCAAGGGATGCGCTCCCGTCCTCGTTGTAAGGTGCCTCATTATGATGCACATCCTTAACATCAAGGGTCTGCTCGACCTCCACTTGCACTTCGATCTCGCCGTTTCCGAAGCTATTGCTTAGCTGCGGGACCTGCCGAGCCTCAACGTCAGCCTCGGCGGTATTGTCAAGCCTTGGTTCGGCTGATTTTTGGAACGACAGAGGAGAGAGGCCCGGTTGCGCGAGGATAACGGCGAGAGCTGCGAGGAGGAATATATTTATTGCGCATAACGCTATAGCGAGAGCAAATGCGCTGGAGTTGTGATCCAAGGCAGAGCTCCTCTTCATCGTTCCTCGGAGCTCTGTGGTTCTTGCCAACGCCTCCTGACTGCCTGATTCTGACCTACTCCTCTAGTCGCAGTGCTTGACGTGCGTCAAGTTTATCCAGTGCCAAGACCTACACTACTGCGCGGCGAAGGACAATGATGCTGGATGGTACGGTAGAGTTGGCTCTGAGGCTCTCCCCCTATTTGTGAAAGAGTATGTGGTCTAACGTTTCTGGTCTGGAAAGCATTGCTCCTGAGACGTGCGATTGTTGTCTGGTGCTGCATTTTGCGGGTTGGAGTCAAGCGCACTGGTCTCTCGCCGCAGCAACAAAGCAAGCGATGTTGCACACCTCAATTCCGTAGGTTGAATGCAGGTTCTTGTGACCGAGTCGCGAGTCGCTACAGAACTGTAGTTCAACTCCAATCAGCTGAGCGCAAGCCACGGCGTCCCATGACAGCATCACTGTAGTTCGTGCTTCCGTTGTATTTTCCATCTTCCATAGCATGCCTCATGTGGCGCACTGGACGTGAGGAGGAAAGACTCAAGTGTTCTGGTGCGAAAAGTCTTCAAAACCATAACAGCGACTTTAACCATATATATTTTTGATAACAACCTATCCTTAACCCAGAATTATTATTGATATATAATGATACTCTCTCATAATTAGCTACAAATTCAACAAATACTGCAGGAGTATGCACAATTTCTGTTCACAAATTTCTATTATAAGCGCTCTAAGCATGAAGCCACCTTACAGCAGGTACAGTTCGTTCTTCCTCCGTAGATGCACGCTGAGTGTTTTCCTGATGCAACGGGAGAACATCAAGGCAATGCTGCTTCAGACTCGCACAGCACAGACTAGTTCGTGCAGTAGCTGATCTCAAGCTGATAAGAAGCCTGGACTCCGGAGATTGCGTGGTCAGTCCAGTAGGCTTTCAATGCGGCTAGTCTCGTTTCCCAGTAGAACCTCCATCTGGTCATTGACCACTCTATTCTGCCTGCTGGACGATCCTCCTCTCAAAGAACCAGCAACGAAGCCGGATACGCAGCTCTTTCGTTCAGCGTCGGCTGAGCTTCTGCCAGCGCAGCCGTTTGTGACCTCCTAGTCGCTTCTTCCAATCTTCAGGGAACACATTCTAAGTCATGAGCGCGTTTAACTCCGGATGGAGCGCCTGGGGCGGTGGCGGTCCGAGCGGGGCTAAGAAACGCCAAGACGGCGGCGGAGCGGGGCCGGGTCGCCAGGCACGGCAGTCGTCGAATCGCGGGACGATGTTCTTAATCCGTTTCTTGATCGTCGTGATCCTGGTGCAAGCGCTGTACATTGTGAAGCTTAAGGTGTCGCAGCAGCGCCGGCTTATCCTGGAAGAGGGACGAGGCAATAACGGGGATGGCGGGAACACCCGCGCTGCTGAGGCTGCGGATAGCGACAAGTTTCCGGGGATTGAGGGAGGACAAGAGCACCCTAAATCGTCGCAGGAGCAATTAGGGAAGGACTCGAGTTTAGGTATTGCAACGACTGCCGATTCTGCCGATTCTGTTGGTGCAGGAAATCAAGCCGCGGCGATAAGCACTCAGCCCGATGGTACTACAGTGACTCCGGGTACCGAAACTGCTTCTAACGGGGACGAGAAGCAGTCGGTGGAGTTGCCGCGAGGTGACAATGCAGTGGTGACTCTAGCGGGGGGGTCGGAAGGGGAGGGGAGCGGGGAGCAAGGAGCGGGCGAGTTGGGGGAGGAGAGTGAGATGGACAGTAAAGACGAGGAGGAGGTGGGGTCCAGGCGAGAAGCAAGCGAGCGCGCAGCGGAAGCGGAGGCGGGCGCGCGGGCGGGAGCGGAAACAGACGCGGGGGAGCCGGAAGCGGGGGGGCGAGATGGTTCTGGGGAGGCGGGTGTCACCAGCGCGGGGCAGCGCCAGGCGGAGGGGCAAGGGCAAGTGAGCGGCGCCCTGGCGCAGTTACGTGGGGGAGTTTCGGGGGGAAGTGGCGGGGGAGATGCAGAAACGGGGGAAGCGGGGGCCGGGGAGGGAGCGAGTGACGCGGGGGTGGGGGTGGGGGGAGAGGGAGAGGGAGGGAGGAGGTGGGAGCCGTTGAGGGGGCCGGCAGAGGGCATGTCGTGCCGTGCGTGGCTGGAGGAACAAGACGCAGTGGCTGTTGGGAGGGATTTCGAGAGGCAGCCAGTCAGAGTGGCGGCCAACGAGGTGGGTGCGCGCGCTCGGTTATGCAGTGTGTGTGTCTGCGTGTTCTCACACACACGCAGACTTCCCCCCCCTTGCACAGGTCAAGCTGTGGGTGGGACTGTGACGTGACGTGCGAGTTCGTGGGCGAGGGGGATGACGTGGACGGCAGCCTCTGACTCAGTGCGGGGCAAGGCGCCAAGGCACTGGCCCTTTTCCCCAACCAAATCCTCCCTTTTTTCCTGCACAGGTCAAGCGGTGGGACTGCGATGTGCCGTGTGAGTTCCTGCGCGAGGAGGATGACGCGGACGCCAGCCTCACATGCGCTGTGCTTGGCTCCCCCTATCCTCCCCATCCCATTGCCCCCCCCCTCCCCACCTCCCCCCACCCCCCCAAACTCTCTCCTTCCTCCTGCACAGGTCAAGCGTTGGGACTGCGACGTGCCGTGTGAGTTTGTGGGCGAGGGCGATGACGTGGACGGCAGCCTGACATATGCAGTGCCCGGCAAGATGGTGCTGCGCTCCATGGAGGCGCGGTCCTACTACCCCATCAACGACCCTGCTATTGCCAGGAAGTCACATAGCGTGAGTGCGGGTGCAAGGTGTGTGCATGTGGGGTTGCTTGCTAGGCAAGATGGTGCTGCGCTCCATGGAGGCGCGGTCCTACTACCCCATCAACGACCCTGCTATTGCCAGGAAGTCGCACAGTGTGAGTGATAGGAATTGACATGCACTGCATAGCATATGGTATGTGGGGCATGCATGCATGTAGGGGTGTGGGAGGCAAGATGGTGCTGCGGTCCTTGGAGGCCCCATCCTACTACCCCATCAACGACCCTGCTATTGCCGGGAAGTCACAGGGAGGAGTACGACAGCATGCAGCCTCTCGACCCCCCTCCCACGCTCCTTGCTCACCCACTGCCCTCAACAGGTGGTGGTGACGGTGCACTACGACTCAGACGTGCCCGTGTAATGCGGATCATGGGAGGTGTGTGGCATCATGCGGCCGCTTGACCCCCGTCCCACGCTCCTTGCTCACCCACTGCCCTCAACAGGCGGTGGTGACGGTGCACTATGACTCAAAGCGTCATTCTCAGAGCATGCGCAACATAGTGCACCGTCACTGACTCAGAGCATGCGCAACATAGTGCACCGTCACTGACTCAGAGCATGCGCAACATAGTGCACCGTCACTGACTCAGAGCATGCGCAACATAGTGCACCGTCACTGACTCAGAGCATGCGCAACATAGTGCACCGTCACTGACTCAGAGCATGCGCAACATAGTGCACCGTCACTGACTCAGAGCATGCGCAACATAGTGCACCGTCACTGACTCAGAGCATGCGCAATCGTCATTCTCCTCAGAAGCGTCATTCTCAGAGCATGCGCAATCCAGTGCTCAGAGCATGCGCAATCCAGTGCTCAGAACATGCACAATCCAGTGCTCAGAACATGTCTTTCATCCTCTCCTCTCCTCGCCTCTCCTCTCCTCGCCTCTCCTCTCCTCGCCTCTCCTCTCCTCGCCTCTCCTCTCCTCGCCTCGCCTCGCCTCGCCTCGCCTGTCTGTTCAAATCCCGTAACAACAACAGGTGGTGATGACAGTGCACTACGACTCAGACGTGCCCGTGCAGTACGGGTCGTGGGAGGAATATGACATCATGCGGCCTCCCGTGCCCAAGACTGCCGATGCCATCGCTGCTGCGTTTATCAGCAACTGCGCCGCCAACAACTTCAGGCTCAAGGTGAGAGCCTATTTGTGAGGCGCCTTAAATATAGACGCCCCACATGCACGTGCCCCACATGCACATGCCCCATGCACATGCCCCCCATGCACATGCCCCACATGCACATGCCCCACATGCACATGCCCCACATGCACATGCCCCACATGCACATGCCCCACATGCACATGCCCCACACACATGCACATGCCCCACACACATGCACATGCCCCACACACATGCACATGCCCCACATGCACATGCCCCATGCACATGCCCCCCATGCACATGCCTTCCTTCCCAGGCGGTGGAGGAACTGCATCAGTTCTTTCCTCTGCTCTCCTCCTTTTGTGGCCCATAACTCATCTTACCGCCCTCCACCGCTCCTTCTCCCACAAAACCCCAGGCGGTGGAGGAGCTGCAGAAGTTTTTCACGGTGCACTCCTACGGTCGACTCGCTGCTGCCGGAATCACCTGCTCTTGTGCTCCCTCACCCACTCCCTCCCTCACCCAATCTCTCCCTTACCTGCTCCTTCTGTCTCCTGTCTCCTGTCTCCTCTCCCCTCTTCCACCTCCCAGGCGGTGGAGGAGCTGCAGAAGTTCTTCACCGTGCACTCCTATGGGCGCTGCCTCAACAACCGCCCGTACGAGCACGACAAGGTGCGGTTGGGGTGAGGTGGGTGGGCTCACAGTCAGTCAGGCAAATGTGGGCTCGAGGTGACTCTTGAGTCGACTCAAAAGCAGGGTACTCGTATGGCCGCTGCCGCAACAACCACCCGTACGAGCACGACAACGTGCGGTTGGGGTGAGGTGGGTGGGCTTTTGGGTCGACTCAAAAGCGGACTCCTGTGGTCGCTGCCTTAACAACCGGCCATACGAGCACGACAAGGTGCGGTTGGGGTGAGGTGGGTGGGCTTTTGGGTGGGCTTTTGTGTGTGTGCACGGTCAGTCAGTCAGGCAAATGTGGGCTCGAGGTGACTCTTGAGTCGACTCAAAAGCAGTGCACTCTTATGGTCGCTGCCTCAACAATCGCCCATACGAGCACGGCGAGGTGCGGTTGTGGAGAGGTGGCTGTGTGTGCGGTCAGTCAGGCAAATGCGTGAGGAGTCTATTTTTGAGGTCCTCACGCATGGCTGTGTGTGCGGTCAGTCAGGCAAATGTGGGCTTGAAAATGCGATCAGCTGTGGGATTTCAACATGTGACCAGTTGACTTTCTAGGCGCCTAAAAGATGTGGGCTGGAAAATGTGATGAGGTTTAGGATTTCAACATGCGATGAGGTGTGGGATTTCAACGCGTGGCCAGGACCAGTCAGTGGTGGCTGGCAGGTGGCCTTTGCGTCAAAGGTGGCTCAAAGATGACCCACAAAATCAAATCGGCGGCATCTCTTTCTCAATGCACTTGTTTTCTTTCTCTTTCCCATTCACGTATCACCAGCTTGCTGTGATCCAGCGCTACAAGTTCTCTTTGACGTTTGAGAACCCCTATGAGCCCGACTACATCACTGAGAAGTTCTGGCAGTCCCTCGTGGCCGGCTGGTGTGTTTCAGAACACGTGCGCTCTCATCCTCTCTCCCCCCCCTCTCTTCCTCTCTCCCCCCCCCACTCTCTCCCCCATCCACACCACCGGCTATCCGTGACCCTGTGCTACAAGTCCTCCTCGCCTCTAAGAACTCCTACTGGTGTCCTGATCCACTTGTATTCTCTTCCCTCTCTTCCCTCCCTCCCCCCCCCACCTGTCCCCCATCCGCACCACCAGCTATCCGTGACCCTGTGCCACAAGTTCTCCCTCGCCTTAGAGAGAAAGAACTCCTGCGAGCCCGACTACATCACTGAGATGTTCTGGCAGTCCCTCGTGGCGGGGCCAGGTGGTTTCCTGCCCCAACTCACTTGTTTTTTGCCCCTCTGTTCCCCTCTGTCATACACATACATGTGCACTGCGTACCACCAGCTTGCTGTGATCCAGCGCTACAAGTTCTCTTTGGCCTTTGAGAACTCCTGTGAGCCCGATTACATCACTGAGAAGTTCTGGCAGTCCCTCGTGGCCGGCTCTGTGCCGGTGGTCGTCGGCCCGCCTAACATCGCTGATTTCGTGCCGGACAACAACTCCTACCTGCATATACCGGTGAGAAGCACCCTGTGTGTCTGAGTTATGTGTTGGTATTGGTGCAGCCAGTATCCCTACACTCACATTCCAGTGAGCGACTGCAGTGAGCGACTGCTGCTGCTAGTTCAGCTCAGCTGCTCTCTCCTGGCTGCTAGCGACTGCTCCACCGTCCACCAGTGGACACCATCCACCGTCCACCGTCCACTGTCCACCGCCCACCGCCCACCGCCCACCGGTGTACGCCGTCCACCGTCCACTGTCCACCATCCACCGTCCACCGTCCACCGTCCATGCATACTTCTAGCACCGTTAGGAGTGTGGCATTTTGTACATTGTTCCTAGCACCAAATTTTACCTCTTCGTACCCCTACATCCCTCTACATACTCCACGTACCTCTTCAAACCTCTACATACCTCTACACTCCCACCTTTCCACCCTGCAACTCTCCTTCTTCCTGCTCTCTCTTCTCTCTAGACTGAGGCGGACGTTCGCTGGGTGGCCCAGCAGATGCTAATCCATCCATCCCTCGTCGGCACACTCTACCCCCTAACATCTACTGCAGGGTGTTTTTGAGAATTCTCAAAAACACCTAACATCTACCATTTTTTAGTCGACTATAACATCTACTGTCCCACGGTGATTTTATAGTCGACTAAAAAATGACATACGGATATTGTCACGCGAAGGCAGCCACCTACAAAAGCTAGTAACCATCAAACCTACCCTACAACTCTCAAAGAGTTTCTTCCCTCTCTGAACCAGATTTCTCTGAACCAGATTTCTCTGAACCAGACTTCTCTTTACAAACAAAGTGTTCTACAGACTACAGATGGACCCGCTGCCACGTACGGCTAAACCCACTAAGCGGTGATCTCCCAGCAGATGCTAAACTTTCATCTGCACACTCTACCTCCTAACCTCTACTCTACCCTCCCACCATCCCACCCTATAACCCTTGTCCTCCTGCCTTTCCTTCTGTCGAGACTGAGGCAGATGTCCCCAGGTTGGCGTCGCAGATGCGGGCCACTGCTGCTGATGGCAGTTGTTTTCACCAACTCGCTACCACTCAATATGCTTTCTCTGCTACCTTAACCCCCAAATCCCCTCCTTTCCCCCGCATCCCGGCACAGACTGAGGCGGACATACCCCGGGTGGCGCAGCAGATGCAGGCCATCACTGCTGACGAGTCTCGTCCTCACTTGTTGACCTCGTTGCATGCCTTTCCTGCTTCCTCCCCCTCCCTGTTTCCTCTCCAGACTGAGGCGGACATACCCCGGGTGGCGCAGCAGATGCAGGCTCTCGCTTCCGACGACGAGGCTTACAACAAGATGCTCGAGTGGAAGCGATCCGGACCGTCGGATCAGTTCATCACCAACGTCGATCTCTCGGCTGTGCACTCCTCCTGCCGCCTCTGTGTGCTGCTTGCTGACCGCATCCGCACCCACGAGATTGCTGTCTCCAGCAGGCCAAGGCCGTGCAGGTGAGTCATCTCCCTCCCTCCCCCCGCCTTCCTGGAATTTCATTCCCCTTTGCTCCATTTGCACGCCGAGGCTTCCCCCTCCCACCTCTGTGTGCTGCTTGCGACTGCATCCGCACCCACGAGATTGCTGCCTCCAGCAAGCCAAGGCCGTGCAGGTAAGGCCCCATCCATGCTCCCTTTCCCCTTGTGTCTCATTCCCCACGCTCCATCTGCGCACTCTGCTCTCCTCCTGCCGTCTCTGTGTGCTGCTTGCTGATCGCATCCGCACCCATGAGATTGCTGCCTCCAGCAAGCCAAGGCCATGCAGGTGTGGACTTGCTTTTTCCCATTCCCAACCCCTCCCCTTCCGTGTCCAATCCTCCCAAGCTACCCTCTTCCCCCCCTCCCCCCTCCCCCGCTCCCCTTCACATATTTTTCTTTCCCGCCTCCCATTCCCCTCAACCCGTCCATTCTGCCATCCCCCCATCCTACGTTGTTCCGCATGCCCCTATGTAACAGGTGCGAGAGTGTTTCAGAGTCGGGCAAAAAGCAGCTCACATACCACCTTTCCTTCCTCGCTTCTCATTCCCCTTTACCTTTCATCCCTGCTGTCCCTGCACCCGACCTCCTTCATTCATTGCTTTTACGCTCTTAGGTGCGAGAGCGTTTCAGAGTCCGGCAAGAAGCAGCTCACATACCACCTCTATGTGCGAGAGAGAGGCACGTACCAATTTACCTCCGTCTTCCTCACGAAAGATTCTCTTACCCTCCCGGGCCTCCGCCGAGCCATTCGCCGAACCTTCAAGAAGAAGAGCTACAAGCCTGTTTGGGTCGGCAAGAGACCAGCCGTTTTGGCGTCGGAGAAGCGGATCAAGGCATTGAGGATTTTCCACGTGTATCCGGCGGGGTCCAACCAGAAGGAAGCCATGTTTGGGAGTGCGTGGTTCCAGACCTCCGCGCAGTTTGCCAAGTTTTTGGACAGCCACCCTTGCCCGAGATTAGAAGTGATCTTTATCTGAAATCGTAAGGTTTTTTATTCCGTGGAATAATATACAACTCGGGTGTTTTGTCCAACTCATTTGGGCGGTGTGCTAAGAAGAATGTGAGGAATTTTATTCCTTACCGGGTTGTACTGCAATCACTTACACCCGAACTCTTGGAAGACGAGACTCGGTCCAATTCCGATGCAACCCCGAGGCTGGCTCGCGCCGCCTCTGGCCCTTTTGACCGCGCCTGTACCCAACCTAGCCCTTCGGGCTCGTCGCCTAGCTAGAGCTCTCGCTATATAGTGCTAGGCTCCCATTCTTGTAGTGGTCATTATTATTCAGCGCACTCTAAGTTATTATTCATAACAAAGAACATCATGCGTTAGCGTTTTGAGAAAGACTCCGCTCTCCAGTTGGCTTTTTGCCGCCTCATAACGCAGATTTCATCCTACTCTGGGGTACCCTTGGAATTGCTGCACGCACCGAGCACAGTTGGAACACCAGAGTACTCCTGGGTCGCGTCTATTGTAGAATGACTCTCTTTTGTAGATTACGTCGTTTCTGAACCTGAACGACTCCTTGCACTAGTCAACTCGCGTCATGTTGTAAACTCGTCTCGAGATGGGTCGATCCATGTCGCAGCCGCGTTTGCGTGCGTCCGCGTTCTGCTCACTCTCGTGTGCGAGGACGCTCGTGCTGCCTTCCGTTCTCCTGTTCACGGTCCTGGCGCTCTTTAATCGCCATTTCCGCCTCCTCGCGTCGCCTTTCTCCAAGTCTCCTCTCTCTAGCCGCCTAATCTCCGTGCCATCATCTGCCGTTAATGCTGATGGTGCAGGTGGTGCCGATTCTGCTTCCAACTGGCTACGATCCGTGGATTCCCGGAAGCTTCTCCCGCTTGCGAATCGACTAGAGCCAGAAGAAGTCAGAAATCTGGAGGAGACGGTTGCGTTTCTACCTCGTTATAGCGAGTCCCGTTCAGAGCATAGTGACGAAGCTGTAGCTAGCAATGAGACAATAAATTTCAACATTGGCGACCTTGCAAAGCCAAGGGACCCCTTTCTTTCCATTCCTGGGCAGCCCGAGGAAGGAGGTTCTGTAACAGAAGCAGGTTCAAACGGGCAGCGAGAGCAGTTGTCCAGGGAGCCAGAGTGGGATTCAGAGGGGTATGTGTCAGCCAGTACACTCGGGCAGCTGGCTCAGGAAGCCTCGATTAACGGCACTGTTGTCATTCTCGTGTGCAGCTATGGTGAGTCTTGTTGGATTGGGTATAAAATATCCATGGTTAATCATACAGTCCAGAGAAATTCGACTCTTCTAGATTGCAATTGCACAATTCCCGTGCATCTTTTCTCCCCTCTCCTGACGTCCCATGGCTCCCCTCACCGTCTCTCAGGGTGTTTTTGAGAAACTTCAAAAAGTGCAGCCCATCTCTCCCGCACAGTGCAGCTTGCCCCCCGGCTCCTCGCATGTCTATCCCTCGGGTCGCTGTCTCCTATGACTTCTGAGTAGACTCAGAACGACTTTTGAGACGACTATTGAGTCGACTCAGGACGACTTTTGAGACAACTTAGAACGACTATAGAGTCGACTCAGGACGACTTTTGAGACAACTCAGAACGACTATTGAGTCGACTCAGGACGACTTTTGAGACAACTCAGAACGACTATTGAGTCGACTCAGGACGACTTTTGAGACAACCCAGAACGAATATTGAGTCGACTCAGGACGACTTTTGAGACAACTCAGAACGACTATTGAGTCGACTCAGGACGACTTTTGAGACAACTCAGAACGACTATTGAGTCAACTCAGGACAACTTTTGAGACAACTCAGAACGACTATTGAGTCGACTCAGAACGACTTTTGAGACGACTCAGAACGACTTTTGAGACGACTCAGAACGACTATTGAGTCGGCTCAGAATTACTCCTGAGTCAACTCAGAACTCACGACCCCTGGTTCGCCCACCTTCTCTCCTATGCAGTGCAGCTTGCCCCACGTCTCCTCCCACGCCCATCCCTCTCCTCTCCTCTCCTCACCCCATGCAGGTTGTGGGAATTTTCTGCTCAACTGGGCACTGTATGCAGGCGAGCTGGGGTACGGGCGTCGGCTCCTAAGCTCTCCTCACTTTCTCTAACCCCCCCCCTCCCTCCTCCTCCCACCTTCCCCCCATCCACCTCGCCCCATACAAGGCTACGCGGATTTTCTGCTCAATTGGGCGGTGTATGCGGGCGAGCTGGGGTACGGGCGTCAATTTCTTGTGTTTGCTGAGGATAGGGAGAGCTTCGATCTTCTGAGACACCGATTTCCAAGACAGGTGAGTCTCTTATAGGGAACCTTGGGAAGGTTCTTAGGGGGCTCCGCTCTGCAAGTTATTGTTCCTCCCAACCATTTTCCCTTAACCGATTTTCTCCCTACCAGTTTCTTTTTCTCCTTTCTTTCCCAATCATTTCCCCCCCAACATATTCCCACATCAGGTGGTGCGGTGGCACGTGCCAGAGATAGAGCAGGCGAGGGAGGACGAGCTGAAGGGCGCAGGACTGGTGGAGGAAAACGGTAGCACTCTCAGTGGCAGCACGAGCAGCAGTAGTGGCAGAGGTGGGAGGGATGGAAGTGGGGAGGGCAGCAGCAGCAGCAGCAGCAGCAGCAGCAAGGACGCCTTTTCTTTCCTCACTCTGGGCTTTAAGAGGCTCATGTATCGAAGGGTGGCCTACATCCGCACGCTCCTCAACATGGGCTTTAACGTCCTAATCTGCGACTCGGACTTTATCTGGGTCAAGGACCCCTTTCCTTACCTCTTTGCGAAGCCAAGTCCCTCGGAGCTCTCAAGACGATCCATGGCTTCCCGCCTGGCTTTAAGCACGGCTCTTGGAGTGTATAGCAACAAGAAGCGGGCGATATCTTTTTCCGACTTTGAATCACAAGCTTCGCCTACTTCTGGGGCAGCTCCTGTAGAGTATGATGTCGTGGGAGTGCGGGAATTCCCGGACACATACAATTTCTACGCAACTGCCACCTACCTCATGGATCCCCGGCCTGAAAAGCTTGACCATGCTAAGCTCTGCGGTGGCTTTGTCCTCTTCCGAAACACACCCGGAGGAAGGCTTGTCCTGGAGTTGCTTATAATGAAGATATACCGGGCGCCTAAGGTCACAGGGAGGGAGAATGATCAGCTTTATCTGGGCATGGCGATTCACGAGCTCTTAAAAGTCAACCCAGCTCCGCTAATAGGTGTTCTTCCACAAACTCTCTTTCCTCCGGGGTGGCTCTATTTTCAGGATTCTTCAGCATTACCTCCTGGTAGGCGACGGGTACTTCCCGACTGGGATGCTGTGGTGACAATTCACAATAACTGGATGGCAGGGAAGGGAAACAAGTTAGATAGATTCGTGACAGCTGGATTGTGGAGACTTACGGATGCAAAGCGAGATTTGTGAGGACATTGATCTATGTTGCTTAGGAGAGTGTAGAAGAGAGCTCATGGTTGATTGGAAATATATCTGATCTTCACCTTCTGGAGATTTGCACTGTAACGAATCGTCTCTGCTTACCCGCTATGCCAACACTGACCCTGCCTGCCACCCTCGATTTTTTCGGCCTCCCGCCAAGAGGATAAAAAGGTCGCCGCCTCACTTCTTTTCATTCTTCTCCGTTCATTTTCCAGCTCACCGTGCAGAGGAGAATCCATCGCGTAGAAGTGCTGGCTGCTCCCCCTACCCTAGTCGTCCTCGACACTCGGTTATTTCTCTCTCCGTTTGCTAGGAGAAAGCTTGGTTCCGCTTAGGGAACTGTCTCCTACGTATTTCTCGCCCGTCACGCTTTTGCCTGCAGGCGTAGCACTGCTGCCATATTCAGTTCAACAGAGGTACCCGAGTCATTACTCGAGTTTTTTAGAATTCTCAAACCTCTTCACTTAGGTCTTGACAGCAATCGCTTAGGCCGCATCGTCTGCCGATTCCTCTCCTCCCCTACAGCTTAGGCCGAATCGTCTCCAGTTTCCGCGTGCGTTTTCTAGAAAAGAACAGGAATGGCGCGCGGTGACGATTACGACGACGAGGTGGAGGGAGGGCGACGAGGAGTACGAGGAGGAGGAGGAGGAGGAGGAGGACGAGGAGTACGAGGAGCGCGCGGGGAAGAAGCGGGGGCGCGGATCGCAGTTCATCGACGACGCGGCGGAGGAGGACGAGGACGAGGACGAGGAGGACGAGGCCCCGCGCAAGAAAAAGGGGTCGACCACCGGCCGTTCGATGTTCATTGAGGAGGAAGCGGCGGTGGCGAGCGATGACGAGGAGGAGGAAGAGGAAGAGGAAGATGGTACGTTGATTTCTGAGCCGCCTAGGGAACAACGTCGCATGTTTTGAGGAGCCTTGGAGGAGGAAGGGTCGACGACCGGCCGGTGGATGTTTATTGAGGACGAAGCGGCAGCGGCGAGTGATGACGAGGAGGAGGAGGATGAAGAGGAAGACGGTACGGTTGAATGCTTCTTATGAAGCGTCTTATGCCGCAACTGGCATTGAAGTCGTTAAGTGAGGAATTAGGGTTGCGCGTGGAGGCTTCGACGGCGCTTACAGGAAGGAGGCGGTAGGTGGAGTAGACTTTAAAGCAATGAACGCAACTGAACGCAACTGCCCCTGAACTGGCGTTCGCAATCATTAGAAAGCCCCTAATGATCGGCGGGTTTTTCGATGCCTCGTCCATCTCATCTAATCCCGTACACTATTCGTCAGCAGGCTTTTTGAGCCGTATGAGCGGCTTTCGGCGCACCACCGCACGCCGCTGCCTTACCAACCGTGCTCTTTCCTCTCCTCCTTGGCAATCTTTACCCACCTTTAGGTTTCATTGACCGGGACGCGGACCTAGGCGAGGAGTTAGGCAACGAGCGGCCGTCGGCGCACCACCGCACGCTGCTGCGGCGCAACGAGGAGGAGGAGGAGGTGAACGAGGAGGACTACCAGCGGTTCCTGGAGGAGCGGTACGCGCGCAACGAGGTGCCCGACCTGGGCGAGGGCGAGGCCACCGAGGTCGAGCAGCAGGCGCTGCTGCCCTCCGTCCGGGATCCGAAACTGTGGATGGTCAAATGCCAGGTATGCGGTGCGGTACGGTGCTGGGGTGTGGTGGAGTGCAGTGTAGTGTAGTGTCGTGGTGTGAAGTAGTGTTGTGTGAATTGAAGGTAGGGTGCAGCACTAAACGAGGCTCAGCAGCTGGTGCCGCTGTCCTCAGCGCAGGATGCAAAACTCTGGATGGATGGTCAAATGCCAGGTATGGTATGCTCTTCCGGGCTGTGCTGTAGTGCTTTGCACTCTAGGTGCCCGAGCTGGGCACAAGGCAGTGGTGAGTCTATTTTCGAGGCGGCTGAAAAATACGCTCTGCGTGCCCAAGCCGAGCTGGCGGCAAGGCGGTGGTGAGTGAGGCCCATGCAGAAGTGCGTCAACGTGGAGGCTCCCTTGCTTGTCCCGTGCTAGTGAAACCATCATCCCATCTGTACCCATCCTGCCTGGAGGTTCCCATATCTATCCTGTGCCTCATTCCTTCTCCCTCCCCCCGCCCCCCCCCGGGCCCCCCCCACCCCTCACGCCCCCTTCCCCCGCCTTGCAGCTGGGCCACGAGCGCGAGGCGGTGGTGTCGCTGATGCAGAAGTGCGTGAATCTGGAGGGGCAGGGCGGGGCGCTGCAGATCAAGTCAGCCATAGCGCTGGACAACCTCAAGGGGTGCGTGTACGTGGAGGCGCACAAGGAGGCGTACGTCAAGGAGGTGCGTGCTTGAAGGAGGTGCGTGCTTGAAGGAGGTGCGTGCTTGAAGGAGGTGCGTGCTTGAAGGAGGTGCGTGCTTGAAGGAGGTGCGTGCTTGAAGGAGGGGTGTTGAGAGAGGGAGACTGAATTCGGTTCAGCTGTTGATACGCGGCTCAGGAGTCTATTTTCGGTTTGAGGCGCCTCAAAAGGAGCCTATTTTCGGTTTGAGGCGCCTCAAAAGGAGCCTATTTTCGGTTTGAGGCGCCTCAGAAATTAATTCGGTTCAGCTGTTGATACGCCGCTCAGGCCATTGCGCTGGACAGCTTCGACGGGTGCGTGCGTGTACGTGGTGGAGGCGCACCAAGGAGGCGTACGTGTGGAGCTGAGTCATCTCAGTGCTGTTCTTCAGCTTTCTTTATCATTCGAAGCATATGTAGGGCGCAATTTGTTGTATGCGTGGAAGCAGTCGTTGCTGCTCATTATTTTTTAGAATTCTCAAAAATGACTCCACTCATTTGAAGCATATATAGGGCGCAGTTTGTTGTATGTGTGGAAGCAGTCGTTGGAAGTAGTTTGTGGCTTACAGGGTGCTCGCCAGGTAAGGAGATGGCTGTTCCCACCCTCAAGCCCACCCCCCACCCCCCCTCACACCCTCTCTTCCACACCACATCCCCTCCTGCCCCCGCTCGCCCTCTTTTTCCCCCAATCTCGACGAGGCGTGTGCGGGGCTGCGCCTGCTGTACTCGTGGAGGCCGGCGCTGGTGCCCATCAAGGAGATGGCCCGTCTCACACTCGGCGCTGGTGCTCAGAGTGGAGCAGAAGACGGTGGACCTGGAGAGGCCTTTCCAACCCTCACCCTTCCCCCCTCCCTCTACTAGGCGTGTGCGGGGCTGCGCCTGCTGTACTCGTGGAAGCCGGCGCTGGTACCTATCAAGGAGATGGCGGGGGTGTTGACGGTGGAGCAGAAGTCGGTGGACCTGGAGGAGAACAGCTGGGTGCGCGTCAAGATCGGGCTCTACAAGGGCGACCTTTGCGCTGGTGAGTGCTCCAGTCTGTGCGTGTGTACGGGGGGAGAGGGGAGTGTGGGTGAGTGTGAGGGTGTTTGGATTAACGGTGGAGCAGAAGTCGGTGGACCTGGAGGAGAACAGCTGGGTTGCGCGTCAAGATCGGGCTCTACAAGGGCGACCTCGCACTGGTACGATAGGCAGAGCGAAATAGTGTGGGTGGGGAGAGAGAGTGTCTTTGGGGGGAGGGAGGGAGGGAGTGGGTGAGTGTGAGTGTGTTGGGATGAACAGTGGAGCAAAGGTTGGTGGATCTGGGAGACTGGAGGAGAACAGCTGGGTGCGTGTCAAAATCGAGCTGTACACGAGGAACCTCGCTCTGTTGTGTGCTTCGGTCTGTGTGTGTGTGTGAGGGGGGGGGGGGAGGGTGAGTGGGTGGGTGTGAGGGTTCCATTCCATGATGCATGCTCACATGCCAAGATCGCGTGATAGTGTGAGCACACTGTGAAGATGCATTCCATCAAAACGAGGGTTCCATTCCATGATGCATGCTCACATGCCAAGATCGCGTGATAGTGTGAGCACACTGTGAAGATGCATTCCATCAAAACGAGGGTTCCATTCCATGATGCATGCTCACATGCAAAAGATGCACACTGTGCTGGCCCGTGCCCAGCACCATCACCATATAATGCGTGTCAACACACACACACCACACACACACACACACACCACACACACACACACACACACACACACACACACACAAAATGCTTCCCTGAGCCACCTCACCCCTGCACCAAGCCATTTCATGTCACCGTGCGTGCCCATACCACCCCGCACTACGACATGCCCATGCCCACTCATATACCCCCCCATCCCACCCCATGCCACCCCATGCCACGTCACACGTGCAGGTGACTGACGTGGACACAGTGAAGCAGAGGGCCACCATCAAGCTCATTCCCCGCATCGACCTCCAGGCGCTCGCCCAGCGCCAGGTGAGGCATTCAGAGTGCTACTGCTGGGTGCTTGAAGGTGGGTAGACGACTCAGAAACCACCTCGGTGAGCCACGGTAGTGAAGCAGAGGGCCACCATCAAGCTCATTCCCCGCATCGACCTCCAGCTCCAGGCGCTCGCCCAGCGCCAGGTAAGGCATTCAGAGTGCTACTGCTGGGTGCTTGAAGGTGGTTCGCTTGTAAGACGACTCAGAAAACACCTCGGTGAGCCACGGTAGTGAAGCAAAGGGCCACCATCAAGCTCATTCCCCGCATCGACCTCCAGGCGCTCGCCCAGCGCCAGGTGAGACACTGAGACTGAGAGTGCTGTTGCCGCTGGGCTCGAGAAATATGTTTGCTTGTAGTTCGGCTCAGGAGTCACTGCAGTGAAGCAGAGGGCCACCATCGAGCTCATTTCCCGCATCGACCTGCAGCGCTCGCCCAGCGCCAGGTGAGCCCTCGCCCAGCGCCAGGTTAGTCAGTATGAATCATCTCCACTCATTCCATGTGCGCTCTTCCACTAGCCCTCGCCCAGCGCCAGGTTAGTCAGTATGAATCATCTCCACTCATT